CTTACTCCTTTTCAAAAATATTGTATAGAACGATTGGTGTCAGGCGAAATCGTGCCATTGAATCGAAGAGTCCGTGAAACAGTTGTACGCGACACAATCCTCACTGCCACCGTTTGGTTGACTAGCATGCCAGTCAGTAAAGATAAAAGATGCTCTACTTTTTATCCAAATGTAGGAACCTTCTCTTTCTAGGTCATTACCCTCAGTCCAATAATTTACGTTGTCAAAAGTATCTGTCATTATGAGTATATACATGTTTAAAACTTTAACACATACTTCATTCATATCCAAGGGACATGGTGAGTTTGATTTAATAGTACGAATATTTTTTTTAAATGATTATTATATGTAATATAGCATCTCTTTAAAGAAATTATACACTCTCTGACAAACTGGTCAAGAATATTAAACATTAAAGTGATAGAGAAAAATTCAAACATGGTTTATTACTAGTGTTTAGATTGTCTGATTTTGAATCTTATCATTCCATGATCACAGGTAAGGTTTTATATTTGAAAATTTCTCTTAAAATCTTGAATAGCTAATAAGTAAAATAACCAAATTGAATTCAAATAATCATCTCACCGATTTAAAAAGAACATGAAAAGTGTGAAGAGTTTGTGCTTTAATTCGACTTTACTAGGATATTTCGATTCTACATCTGAATGAACATTATACCGGTACATGTACATACATCGTGAATTGATAAAACGTATTCCATAAATCTTAACGTTGAGTTAAAGGCCCGAGCAAGTTTTCTTCTTCTCATGTTGAAATTTAAAAAAAAAATATTCTGCTTTATTACATGTATTAATACAAAAACAAGCCGGCTAGTAGAGGAGCACAATTTATGCCCTTGGATATTCTAATAAATTTTTGAATACCTGATTTCCAAAAATTCAAAGACATTGTCAATGAAAAACTCCAACATATTTTTAATACAATTTTTAGAGAATCGTGTGTTGGATCAGAATATTTTTTGCAAAGCAAATTATCTTTGTAGATGAATAATTAAAAGAAACGAATATTTTTGAATCCTTTTTATTGGAGAAAAAGCAGTTTCTGTAATGTCAAAAAGCCGGGTCTTTAATTTACTATGAGGAATGATTATATTAAGTTTGATTAATAATATTTTTGATGCTATTAATTTTAGTAGAAAACTGTGATTTAAGATTTTTAAAAGGTTCTTTCTAGTTTTTGAGAATACGCATTTGATTTACACCACAACTTCTTGAGTATGTTGTGGCGCAGTCTGTCCAAAAATTCTCCTTCACTGCAGTTAATATTTTTATGATGAGTGAGTTTCTAAAACAATTACATTGTAACTAGTACGAATTGTAACGGGAACCGTTACAGATGTTCACCAAACGCTCCCCTCCTCCACTTTGGGCCTCATTCCCAACAAGCTTCATTAAATTCTTTTGTTCAATAAATCTGCACTTTATTTTCAAAAGTATTTCATTGAAAAACAACGCAAGTATAGTCCTTTAAGTATTAGCCAATCAGATTTCAGCGCACGCACTTGCCCATGTTTTTTTTTTTTTTTTTTATAGATATTTCTCATAAAGAGACTCACAATAAATATCTATGTGTAAAATCTCAAAGATTTTAATTGAGAACTATGAGAGATACAGTAATATAAGTATTAGCCAATCAGAATCCAGCACATGTGCATGCATGTTCTCGCATTCAATTTTTTTGATCGTAGCATAATGTTGGAACCCGTTATGCCTTTCAATATTCAAAATTTCGTCCTGTATTGTTGATCACTAAGGAAGTTACGGCTATTTAAAGTTTCAGCAAATCAGATTGCAGCACACCTGCATGCGCGTGTTTTCACGAAATATTATATATATCGTATTGTAGAACCTCCTAATGTATGACTATGTTTAAAATTTCAAAGAATTATATTGAATAGTAACAGAGATACAGCGTATAAACTATTAGCCGATCAGATTTCAGCACACGTGCATGCATGTCCTTGCATTCAATTTTGATAGTACCTTTACAGTATGTATGTACGACCACATTATTCCTAGTATTGATATTCTAAACTTCATTCTGTTTCTTTGAAAACTAAGGAAGTTATAGTCATTTAAAGTTTCAGCCAATCAAACTGCAGCACACGTGCCTGCGCGTGTTTTCAAGAGTTTTTGTATAAAACATGTTGTAGAACCTTATAATATATAATTACCTATATCTTAAATTTCAAAGTATTTTGTCAAAAAACAAAGAAGATATTAATATTTTTGTTTCAGCCAATCAGAGCAAAGCCCACGTGCATGCGCGTGAATTCATGCTAATTTGACCATGTCATCTTGTTTACATTACTAATATGCCTTTATATCATGAGTTTCAAAGTATTTCATCCAAAAATATAAAAGTTACAGCTGTATAAGTATTAAGTACATGTATATAAGTCATTTCACTCATTGCACGCGCCCGCACGTGAATGCATGTGCACGCAAAATGACCTTCGACGAGCACATCTGCACAACATTGTGTTCGGTGTGCCACAAAGTAACTCAGATTTCAAAGGTATAACATTAAGAGGAATTTCGAATAAGATCACATGACTGTATCAGCAACATGGTAGAACACCGTTGACGTCCGAGGTTAGTGTGCGAGGTACGAGCCAACCGAGGAGCTGAGTGCCGACCTGCTCATCGGAGTGTACGGAGACAACCACCATTTTAGAACCCGCTTCAGATTTTAAAATGCGAATATCTAGAGTTTGAATTTATCTATTTGAAAACAAATTATATCTTAAGCAAATCTTAAACATCGTATTATGGCCACACTCTACCCTGGGGGCCATTATTTGAACATACTTAAACCTCAGTATGTTGGAAAAGGTCTCATATAAGTTTCTTTTTTCCTGGCTGAAGTGGGCTAAAGAAGATTTTTAAAAGATACCACCCGATTTTTACGAAATATCAGTTATCTCCCATTAGAAGAGGACGTGGCTCTTCATTTGAATTAACTTAGATTCCCCTCACCCAAGAAAATTTGGTTGAAAATTGGTTCAGCAGTTCTGGGAAAGTCGAAAGTGTGAAAAGTTTACAGACAACACATGGCAGACAGACAGATAGATGAGCTTACAGGAACTTTCAGCTCAGGTTAGCTAAAACCACTATAAGCATTGTGGGAATGTCTTCCCATTGTGGGAATTTCTTATGCTCATAGCCATCAGAATGTGTGATATATGGTGTCTATATACCTGTACAAGTCGTTGGGAGAGGGGATACGAAGATTAACTTTAAAAACAAAACAAAAACTTTGTTAGATTAACCTTAAAAACAAAACAAAAACTTTGTTAGATGACTACTTTAATCAAAGCAGCGCCACAAAATAGAAACATTTAACAGATGCAGACACTCTTTCTAATTAACGATCATGATACTCTGATCATGACGGCACAATACTAAAGTATACTTAAAAGCAAACTAATATTACAAATCACGATGCGATGAAAATATTAAAATACATGTACTGCACAGCCATCACTGTCTGTGATTGATTGATTGTTGTTTTACGTCCCATTCGAGAATTTTTCACTCATATAGAGACGTCACCATATACCGGTGAAGGACTTCAAATTTAGACCTATACTCGGCACTCAGGGCCACTGAGCAGTAAGGATTCTTTATCGTGCCAACGCCTACCGTGACACGGGATCTCGGTTTTTAAGGTCTCATCCGAAAGGCTCGTGACTTTCACTTTTAATGCCGAGCGCTTGGCGAAGGAACAGTCACTGCCTATGTTTACATTTGAGGTTTGAGGCGGCGCGGCGAACGAGAATCGAACTTCGGCTTCCTGATCACGAAGCGAACGCCCTACCACTAGGCTACCCTGACCATCTGTGATTGAAGTTACATGCAGGAAGGTAATGAAATGGGAAGTGAGTGAACCACTTTATTTAAAATGAGTTCAAGCTATCTTTATTCTTAAAGATATTGTTATCTATATAGAGGAAATGAAAAACAGTAATATTTATATTTAAACATTTATTGTTTGGCGTTGTTAGTCGTGGCATAATATACATGTATAAGCAGCAAAGGGTCGCCAAGCAGGGCAGACCCAAAATTCAAGCAACAACACAATACAAAGCAAATCAATTATTTGGCTGTTCCAGGTTTACCGCAAACAGTCATTTACCTTTAAGCTTATTAATGTTTTTTTAATTATAAAAAAGTTTTGAATAAATTCAAATATAGCAACAACAAGCATAAAATAAGCAGCACAATCAAAAAAGGATGCGTATACCGAATCCGATTTTGTACGCCGAACTCGAGCAAAAAATTTCCCCATAAGATAAAGGCATCTATATTATATTCATATAGATGCTGTTATATCATTATTCAAATTCGAAACTTGTTTTCATAGACTTATTTTTTTTTTGGGGGGGGGGGGTTAATATTCGATAATTGTTATTTACTAGGCCTAGTATATTCATAAACTTGTGACTTGTATGTAAAATCGTGTATTTTCTATAATGATAAGTTTTATACGTTGTAAACTAAATATAAACTTATTTTCTTCATTTGATGCGTACCTTAAATTTTAAGTACCAAATTAAACTGGCAATTGATGATGAATTTGAAAACGAGAGGACGCAAACTATTTTAAAAAATCTATAATTCTACTCGTAAATGAATTTCATTTGTTACAAAATTAAGTCATCCGATTATCCTGCAAATAACATTGCGAAAGACTGGTTTTAAGATTAACAATTTTTTCCTTAATTAAAGAATGGTCTGAAAACATTCTGAATTAAAAAAAAACAAAACAACAAACACTAAAAGCAAGTGTAAAAAAATGAGACTGCAAAAGATCGATATTTTAACCTAACATAATACCGGGTGTATTACCTCATTGACACCCAAATGGCGTCAATCTTAATCAAAACTTATGAATATCTGACGACAACATTCCCAAGCATTTCAAAGTAAAGAATCAAACAAATTACAATACTCTGGTGCTGTGCATCAATAGTCGAAACAAAACTAAACTAGATTAAACAAAAATAGCGAATATGATTCAAAGCGATACGTATACTTGTAAGTTGGTGTAGTTAAAGATTTCCTACAATTCTTTGTTGAAAATCTACAGTAAAATGGACTGTAGACAGTTCTCTTAATGTTCTTAGGTAGTTAAAGCTGTTCTTGTGTTCTTGCTGAGAAAATCCTAATTCACCAAAGACGTACTTTAGCCCCTCGCTACGAGCGGCCTCTAAAATGGCGGAGTAATTGGCCAGCGCTATGGCGTTTGTTAGTCTGGCTTCAACTTCTCCGTTATTCCGAATTTCCATTGCTGTGTTCCTCGTTTGCTGGACCTAAATTCATGTAATCTATGCAATCAGTTATAATCTATATATACATGTAACTAAAAGTATATATTATAAGAATAAATTGTCCATTAACTTCAAACGCGAAAATAATACAAGCATGTAGTAGTTTTAAGGTCATACGCAACGTACATGTACACGTATCTTACAATGTACATTTTCCACTGAAAATTTTTTAAGAAATTATTGATTTACAATCATAGTACCATAAGAGGCTCTCAGACAAAAAAAAATTCAGCATACATTGCCAGAGGTTTTCAACAGATTTCAAATGATGAAAATCCTTGTGTTATTCAAATTAAAATTAGCAAATGTATAGTTTTAACTTATACTTTCGCAAAAATTTGATTTAGAAGAGGTGAACAGGATCATTAGAAATTATAAAAATCGCGCAAAGATCCTTCAATTATTGGAACTCTTAAATAATACAGAAAAAAGTAAATAAAGCTCTAAACTTATTCGTGTATGACGTTAAATTGGATCATAATTTATTAAAACTCATAATTATTAATATCATTATTTATTACAGATCTTCCTACCATAGCTGTTGTATCTTTGCGAACAACTTTGGTCTCTTGCACAAGAAGCTCCCGCTCTGAATCCTCTTGTAACGTAAGTGCTCTCATAAAGCGTTCTTGAACAACGTTTGGAATAGTAACCCCTCCGAGTTGAAAATACTTGACGTCCACAAAGTATCCCTTTTCTTTGACGGTGCACGTTGTTCTTGGTTTGCAATTTTGAGAACAGGCTAAAAAATAATGTTGAACAATCGTAATAAATTTACTTAGTGCAATATATCCAAAGAAATAAAACGAACCGCAGTTAAAATACTGAACCTGTCACAAATTTACAGAAGTTTAGATCAAGTTAAAAATATTGTTATCTTCGGCTTTATACATGTTTGAAAAATTGATTATAGCACTTGAATAAAAATAAAATCCAATTTTATGTATGCCAATGAACTTGAAACAAAAGACACAACAGAGTCTGCTACACATGTGTCATATTTGGATGTTTTAGTGACTATAGGCGATAATGGGATGTCTTCAGTTTTTCCATCACCAATCTCCCTTACGCAGAGACGTAAGCGTAACATCGGTTTTACAATAAACATATTATACACGATGTACACACAAGTACTCAGAAGTTGACATCAAAAAGATGCTTGAGTTTCTGATTGACAATATCTATGTAGTTTTTTGAGATCATATCTTCCAAAAATATTGGAATTCCCATGGGTACCAATTGCTCCCCGTTATTAGCAGATCTCGTTTTGTATTCATATGAAGCAGAATTTATTAGAAAACTTCTACATGAGAAGAAGAAAACGCTCGCTGTGGCCTTCAACTAGACATTTAGATACTAGTATATCGACGACGTATTATCGATTAACTATAGTTACTTCCATTCATATTTGGATATATTTTATCCCAGTGAACTTGAAATTAAAGACACCACAGAGCCTGACACATCTGTTTCATATTTGGATATTTTACTAGAAAAGGACGTTAATGGTAATCTAACAAAGTTTATGATAAACATGACGACTTCAACTTTTCCATCGGCAACTTCCCTTACGTATGTAGCAATATACCCTTTTCACCTGCATATCGGGTTTATGTCTCCCAGTTCATTCGATACGCAAGAGCATGCTCTTCATTGCTCTACGTACGATCATTTTTTTCAAAACGAGGCGGGCTATTAACCAACAAGTTGATGAAACAAGGTTATCAATAGTCTCCTTTGAAGTCGTCAGTTCGCAAGTTCTTAATCGATACAATGACCTTATCAGCAAATACAATTTATCATTTGGTCAAATGTTGACTGTTCATACTAATTGTTAGGCAATTATTTTCACACTGAGATTTCTATGGATTACCTGATCATGACAAGGAGCACACGGCGGGTATGACCGGTCGACAGGGGATGCTTACTCCTCCATGGCACCTGATCCCAACTCTGATGTTTTTGTTTGCTCTGCTCCTGATTTGTATAGTTTGAATGGACTTTTGAGCTTGAATACTGTTCGTTATCTCCATATTTCATTTAGTTATATCCAACGACACCTGCATATGGTGTTTATGTCTTCCAGCTGATTCGATACGCAAGCTCTTAGTACGATTTTTTTAAACAGAGACAAGCTTCTGACAAATAAATTGATGTTACAAGAATTTCTACTACCCCTTTAAAGTAAGCTTTTCGCAAATTTTACGGTCGTTATAATGACCTTATTTGTAAAAACAACCTGATATGTTTCATACCATTTGTTAGAAAATTGTTTTTTTTTGGACTACGGAGTACTCCGTCTACCTGATCAATATATAGGGCTTACGGTAGGTTTGACCGGTGAACATGGAATGCTTACTCCTCCAAGGCACCTGATCCCACCTCTGGTGTTTCAAGTTCGATGGGCCCTTGTTTATGCCCTGTTCACTATTCATGATTCGTTTTGTTTACTGGATATATGAGATTGATCACTTTTCTTTATATCACGACGATTAAATTCAAGCCAAGCATAAATATAATGAATATGTGTGAAGTACGAGAAATTTGTGGACTACTGTCATAACTTTCCATTCTAAACGTCATATCGTATCCAAATTTGGTAGCAAAGTTTCAACAAAAAATTCAAATAAATGTATTAAGAATTTTTAAAATATCATAATTTATTTTAAACTTATTTAAATTTTTAAATGACGAAAATCGGATCGCGGAGCAGATCAAAATTTCGTTGTTTACAATTAATACACGAAATAATGTGAGTAGTCATATCCTCTGCAAAATTGCGCTGGAAAAATTTCTAGACGTCCATGTTTAGAATTGTTATATCGTTTCATATTCTAAATTATGACTTAATTTTTTGCTTCCTTGAAAAGAAATCAACTTCAGAAGATAGGCAGTACTCATTGAAAAGGGCAAAAAAGATGACGATGTAGAACTTAACGGAGCACCAGACTCTGGAAAACTCCAGAAAAAATTCTCAAAATGCTGGAGGAAGCACGAAATATGTCCAAAAAACGATCAATGCATGTGTGTGTACCTTACGCAGGTCATATTTGAATGATAGAGACTCTGTATCAGATGAGACGATCTGTGAGATAACAGATTATCTGTAAAAAGGTGATCAAAAACTTTCAAAAACGTCTGTAAGGTCATGTTAAGATTTAGGCGCTCCACAGTTGCTGATCTTGTGAAAGCACAGTCACACAGTAAAAAAATATATCATTAATAAACAAATTTATGCTACTGAAACAATTGTTAGCAAAATTATTTCAAATGATAGAGAAACGTTTTTAATGAGTGCACTGGTATTGTGCCATAGTGTGAAATGTACGGGGAGATTATTTTTGAGAACCTCATGACGGTATGTTACAATGTTGTTGAGTTTGCTCTGTGCTCACAAAACATGTTTAACTTGATTTTAAATTTAAATAACATGACTTCTATTAAAGCACATGAAATGAAACTTTATACATCAACAAAATAAATATTTTTACATATGATAATGTGCTCATTTTAAATATCTTGAAGAAAGTTTAACGAAGATTCACATGGTCCGAACAACCCTCGTATTTCTTAAAATCCTCTTTGTTCTAGTTTTTAAGTTTTTCAAGTTTAATTTCAATTACTGTGATATACCCCCTTTAAAAATAAGCCTTTTTTTCTTCTCTTTAAAAAAAATCTGTGAAAAAGACTAAAGCAGACCCCAACTTATTATTTTTAGATTTCTTTTTACATCATCTACAAAATAACTCAATTTTGTTGTTAGATGATTCCTTGAACCAGAGTGCGAATTCGAAATTAAAATATATATTTATAAAAAAAATATTATCAATGAATTATTAAAATCGGAATACAGTGTCTAAGAAAAGAATTCTGTATGCTAAATACTTTAAAACTCTGACAGAGAATCTTTACTATATATATGTACCATATTGGAAAGAAGTACAGTTCGGCCTACAACAGATGCCACCCAGTCGTTCTCTGACAGCCTTGTAGATTGTCTCCTCCAGCAGCTTTCTGTCGGATACCAGTTCTCTTGTAGTATACTCAGTCGTGGATCCCTAGAAATAACAGGATACATTTATACATTAGACATATTTCTAACTAAATTACCTTTTGCTAGATATTAATCATGATACCTGTATCGCAACATTTCCTCTAATTTGTTTAAGTCTTGCGATCCTGGGATTTTGTAAACTGCGTAACCAAACCAAACCAAACGAAACAAAATCTAACCAAACAAAAATAACCAGGTGAGACAAAACCAAACGTTACCAAACCAGACGAGGCAATATCAGCTTTAATTATTTTTTCATTAACCTTTTTATGAAAAAAAATGCTGACGCCCGCGTGACGCAGTGGTTAGAGCGTTTGCTCTAGAGTCGCAGAGTAATGAGTTGTTCCTTAGGTCGCGGGTTCGAATCTCATTGCGGGAATGGAGACCGGTCCTTCGGTTAAGACCGTAAATATCGAGGTCCCGTGTCGGAATAGCTCCTGGCAAGAAAATGATCCCTCACTGCTCAATGGCCCTGTGTTCTGATTATAGGTCAAAATTTGCAACACTTCACCCGCAAGTGGTGGCGTCTCCATATGAGTGAAAAGTTCTCGAGAGAGACGTTAAACAACAAACAAACATAAAAATGCTAGAGGTAATGAAAAACAGTGTACGTTACAATAACCAGTATTTTCACGCGTGGCGTAGTCGCGGAGGAAGGGGTTGATTTACGGGTTCGAATCCACTATATGGCTTGGGGGTCGGTCGTTCGGATGAGACCGTACGTATCAACCGGGGTCCTGTGTCGCAGTAGGTACAGGCACGAAAAAAAAATCCTTCACAGCTCAAAGGCCGTAAGCGCCGAGTACAAGTCTAAATTTGCAGCCCTACAACGGCAAGTGGCTGCATCTTAATATGAGTGAAAAATTGTTCGTTTTTCCGTCCTTCTATTATTTTGTCTTTATGTAACTCTTTCGTTTCCGGACAATATCTGGTCTCCACGTTCCACAAATAATTCGAACCCGCGAAATAAGGAACAACTCCTTATTTCGCGATTCACCACTGCATAGACGGAAAAAGAAAAACTGTGAAATTTTAATATAAAAGGTTTACAGTTAAACCGAAAAAAAAATAAAAACTTCTGAAATGCTATCAGCTAACTCAGATGACTGTACAGTCATAATTCGAAAGAGTCTGTACTCTTGACCTTCCATTGGTTGGTGTCATGAAATTGTTATCCATTGAAAACCATTTTTGGCAATATTGGTTTTCAAGGGATAACAACTTCACATGCTACGCTTCGGTCAAGAGTGGTTTTCAAGGGATACAATTTCACGTTAACCCTAACCCCCACCCCCTACCTCCCAAAAAATCAAGTGATATATTTTTGTTATACTGAATGTATTTAGAATACATTTATAAGAAAATGTCATGGTGAACCGTACGCGCAATCATTCTGTGCAGTTAACAATATTTAACTGTTTCCTGTTGTCATGCATTTTTATCCGTTACGAAAGCCAATCAAATCTTACTATTTAATAACATGAAAGTATAACAAACAGTCCTGATCTAAACTCCGATGGATTGGCCAAAAATAAATGCTTGTTTAAGCCATGTCCAAGAAAATACGGATGTTACTAATAAGAAAACTAAGAGACTCCTCTACATACCTTCATAGCGTCAAGAGCACTGTTCTGAATTACATCTTTGTAATCCATGTCAAAGGTGTCATGAAGCAAAACTAGTTCATCCCTTCGGAGAAAATACTGAAAGTGAACTGTGATGCCAACCTTTGAAATAGTAAATAAAATCTTACGTTAAGTACTCAAGTATATTATTTTTTATATTGTATCAAAATAATTCGATCAAGTACCTATTTGAACTACAAATACACATTTTTTTTGTTCAGTACATACTATTATGCATAATATAAGTACACATTTACATTCCACATTTATTTTGCTTATTAAGTGTGTGGAAAGCGACGGCATAAAACACCATAACACGAACGCGAGTCAAAAGGTAAAGTATGCATTTTATTTTGACATCACAAACGTTGAACGCCATGCAAGTGCAACGTCATAAGCAAAAATCAAATTCACGCTCACATTAAACAGAAGCTGTTGCAATGGCTCTTTCATTAATTGTAACTTATCCGAAGTAAAAATAAAGGGATTTTGAAATATAAATCACATTCGTAGTCAAGACAAGATTTTGAAAAATGTAAATACTAGTATAAGAAGTGAATCATTATTTTTTGAAAGATGTAGACTCATAACTGCAACGGTCTGTGCAAACAGAATTTTTATATCGCGCTAACGCGCGTTACTCAATCTGTTTGCATACGCCGTTGTAGTTATGAGACTACATCTTTCAAAAAATAATGATTCAATGCTTAATTATTCGCAATACCTCCAGTTTATCTGCCGTAAATATTTTGGCATTTTCCAATGTGACGTAATGAGCGTCAAGCGGGAAAACCTTGAACTCCATGTCTGGTCCGTAAAAATACCTTCCCGCAGTGTAGACTTCTGATTTGTCAACTCTACCAGTTGATTTTTGTCTTTTGAATCCAAACTACAACCAAAAAAAAAAGATTAATAAATAAATGTAAATAAATAGAAAAATAACATGAAATAAAATTTAATAAAAAGAATATAAATAAGCATGAAATATCAAAATTCAACTAGAGGTTGAACGAAAGTTTGTCTTATATAATGTTACATGACATACATGTAGGACTACATGCTTGCTAAATCAGAATAAGTATTCAAATATTGATTAAACTTAACAAAAGTATTTCTTTTTTGAAAGCTTTTAAATGTTTTAATAACTTTTTTCAAAACTTTCTTTCATATAATACAAATATTCCGAAAAATGTCTACAAGAAATTACTTCTATGAAGCATTTTGGCGAGGTTTTATTTTGGGTTGGTGAACCAACTGAAATTCAATGATAAAAATTAGGGATGGCAATTTGTAACCGGTTAACCGATTACTCGGTCGGAACGATGGCAATCGGTTAGAGAATATCTAATCGGTTAGTCGGAAAAAATAAAATACATGTAAATTTAAACGCAATTTTCTTATAAATCATTTTCAGAAAAAAGGAAATATCTACATTAACGTTGATAATTCAGCGTTCTCACATATCAAAGCTGACTTGGATGTAATTATGTTTCTCTGGATATAGATTGTGGGGTAATTAGTCATTTAATGGTTGAGATGTTAATCACTGTTAAAACACCTGTCATGCAATTCTTTAATGATATTAAATCACCGTTGAACACTGCGAATTAGTATGTTTGTCTTTTGCAGTTGTCCATCGAATAAATTACTAAACAAACATTGTAAATTCAGTGATGTAGTTCAGACTTAATTTTAATTATGGTGACAATGCAGAATGAACTTATGTGACATCTGCTCTGGATATATTTGATTTCTCAGACATGATTCGTGGTTTTCCTTATTTTTTTCTTGTTTGTGAAAACTGAACTAAAATATATATGCATGTAGTTTTCTTATCAAGAAAGAAGACAAATAGAATGATTTAACTTCTAACGACTTTATTATAGTCTTCTTGTGTATATGATTAGAGATACTTAGGGGAAGAAAGTATATTAAGAAAAATTAAATGCATATTTTGATACAGTTAACCGGTTAATAGGTCGGAACGTCTTGCGGTTAACCGATTAGCAATTCTGTATTCGATTGCCATCCCTAATAAAAATTAAAATTTGAAAGAATATGGTAAACAAAGACCCATTTAATGTTTTTAACTAGTAAGCTTTTTGTATGATTAATACACTAAGTTAACGCATCTTCTTATAAAAATTCTTTGCACTAAACAATAATGAAATGTATACCTTAAGAAAAATATACCATCTGCCAAAGGAAATAGATTTTCAACGACATAAAACTGATTTTTAAAATTCAATTTTTTTTTTATATTTTGATATCCTTCTCTTACAATGATACTGTTCACCTACAATAGTCACAAAATTTGAATGAAATGTTTACTAGTTATCCCGATCTGTTTTATAAAGGGTGTGGCACGTCTTCCTTTATCAGACTGAACAATATTAATATAATAATACTTACTCATTACCACCATACCTCAAAATATTCCACGTAACTAAAACTGTATGCCAACAAAGTGCCACCAATAATGGAAAGAATAAAACATCCTCCAACCGCCCCCAGTACCAAAGGAGTCCTTTCACTGCCCATTTCAACAGACACAGGAAAATGTTAAAGAGATTTCAAAGGTGAGATAATGTCAAGGACATAACATGAAAAAAAATCGATGTTGTAAAGCATCCATATACATTTCCTCAAAATGGTAGCAAATCTACCTGTTATGGTAGAAACGGAGCTGAGGATTTATTGATTGCATTTCATCTTGATTCGCTCAGTGATATAAATGTAGGGATACAATAAACATGTACTCTCCAAACAAGTGTGATTTTGTTTGTTTCTTTTTGATTCTATTGAAAGTTTCTCATTATTTTCTGAGATGTACTGTCGAAAGCAGGTAAAAGAGAAAACAAATATAGGTCAATAATAATTAAAATTTTACAAATGATAATGATAATTTATACGAGTAATATTTTTTGAAATCGAAAAACAGACCCTTTTTCTTATAGGAATCTTCACAAAACAAGCCATACCAGCATATTAAGAGAATTGTGATCTCCTGATTTCGGGGTCTTATTAGTATCTATGGCATATTGTGCTGTCTTGTCTGTCCATCTCACTTTTTTAATATTTTTGAAGTACAAATATAGTTATATTTTTGTGATTTCATTCTGAAAACATTGCCCATATTAAATAGTAGCATTTTAACGTGATTTTGATTTTTACGTTTTGGCTTTTAATGCGACCCCATCCTCGCTCACTCAAAAGTTTGATTATTTGTTATAGACAAACTGACAAATAGACGGTCATAAATCATATTATATCCCGAAAGGTCTTTCACAGGTAATGCACATGTAATATTTGAACGCCCTGTCTTTTCAAAGGTGCAAAAGGTACGGCCATTTTTTTTTAATGTCAAACTTTAAGGCCATGAGGTCAAAAATCGGAAATATTCGAAAAACTCTTGTCACAGGTACTCAGTAATGCACAGGTAAAATATCAGTGCCTTCAAAAAGAATGGCCAAGATTAAAGTTTTTTGTGTCAGACAAACGGGCAAAAGTGGAGTCACAAGAATACATGTAACCCACCAATTCTGTAAGAATTTTTGACATCATACCTTCAATTAAGTGCCTAGTAATCGTGCGCTTATAAAACAGTATCTGTGTCAGATACAATTTAAATGAAAACTGTGGTTATTTTATCTGATATTTTAACATACTGGGTTATTGTCCAATATTCTTGTTATTCAAAGTATTTACAACCGCTGTTAGTTACAATGCAAGTGAGGTGTACGTCGGCCATATTTGTTTTGGACCAGTAGTCGTGCACTCGGATGTAGCAGCAAATATGGGGCTAAGAAAAATAAAAACAGAATTAGAGCAAATTCCTGGTGACTAAGATTCTATTCTTCATGGATCAATTCAATCAATTTCAGAATTTATTTGATTTAATCATGTTTACGATTGGTTTTTCTAAAATAAGTCACATGTCTTTAATCTCTTTTTCTATACATGTATTCCTACGTAATCATAATTACGTCTTTCTGTATAGTCCTTAAGGACCGTACAATTTTATCGGGACATCTTGACCAAAGTAAAAAATTGAAATATCCAATGATCATCATGCACGTATGATTATGCTAATTAGCCATGTGCTCGCCATGTCCATAGGTGGCGCTTCCACGCAGGTAAAGTATATATTTAGAAACTGTAATTAAGAAGAGTATTAACAAAATGGTGGATTTTATTGATGCCTTTATTTATTTCATTAATTTGTTAATGTTTTCTCAGCATATTCAACTTTTTATTAAAGTCTCTAATCTTTGAAAATCGGTCGTATATGATGTAATATCATAGCATGTGACCCATGTATGACAACAATCAAAATGATGCAAGACTACTGGGCATGCACGACTAAAAGACACTCGATCATACTACTTTCAAATAGTATTCAGAGCATTATGCAGCGTAATGGCTCTATGTCGAAACATCTATGTCTAGTTTCAAATACATTGTACTATCATATTTGATAAGTATTGAAAATTAAACTGTCATTTAGGTTTAACTCCCTTTTTTAAACAAAAGTTTGTTTGTTTGTTTGTTGTTTAACGTCCCTCTCAAGAATTTTTCACTCATATAGAGACGCCACCACTTGCCGGCGAAGGGCTACAAATTTTTACCTATACCCGGCACTCAGGGCCATTAAGCAGTGAGGGATCTTTTTCGTGCCAGCACCTACTGCGACACGGGGCATCGGTTTATACGGTCTCATCCGAAAGACCGGTCTCCACGTCCCGCAATGGGATTCAAACCCGCGACGAAGGCTCAACCATGTAGTCTTTGTTTAGTTTTGGTGTAATAAATATAAAAATGCATGTATACTTTTTCTTTTAATCAAAATCAATCAAACCATGGAGACATGAAATGAACAACAATGAATCTTACAATCATTAGAAACGTATATAAATAAGGCCATTGTGGCCCTGCTGGTCTCGAGAAAATACTTTAATTTTTTTCCTGAAGATTCTGGCATAAAACTTTATCCACCACCCCACCCCCCTCCCTTGTGACCTAACCTAAGTCTCGAATGTGCAAGCCTCGAATTGTGCAATTTCAACTTGTTAAGGTGGCAGAGGATAGTATTTGGCAATCAAAACGTTTGACCGACGGTTTCCTTAATATTGAGCTGCTTTTAGAATGTGCATTGGAAAATTTAAAATTCTCTCTACATGTAATAATATTATGGTCTAGTCCCTTGAGGAATTTGAAGCTTTTAGGAATAAAACATGTACAACTTACACAATGAGCCCTAATGATGGCACAGGGACAATCTCAAAATTTCATGTAAATTAAGCCTATTTTCACTATTTTGCCGGATGCGCAACAGCTTCCAGGCCCGTGCTAATGCCCTAAGCTACCACACAAAGAACTACGCACGCTTACTCGCGATTCCCGCCTATATTTTACACCCATTTAATTCAATACTAATGGCAATTTGACCGTAAAATCTTCGTTGAATGCAAAGAACAGTTCAATGGTAATTGACTGATAATTTTAATGCCAGTGTTAAATAGTTAATTACCCCTAATTCCAGCTCTTAAAATAAGCGGGGTAGACGATATTTTCCATTGAAATCGGGCTTTAAAGCATCAACACATTTTAAAATATTCTTGGATATGAATAAATGTCCCTTATATCTTTTCTTATGTTTTACGCATATAAAATTAAACATATATTAATAATAAAATACAATTTTTTAGTTATAAAACCCTTTGAAACTGGTCAAAAATTAAGCAATTTTGTGGGTTTTTTTGTCTGTAAACATATATTCCCCCCGTGAAACACAAAAAGCTTTGGTATGAATTTGTGAAATGACAGTCCATATTACCTGTAAAAAGGAATTTTTGTTTCACCGGGGGGGGGGGGGGATGTTTTAAAAATATTTTCCGTTTTCTGTTGATTTCTATAGTGAAAAACACAAGTTTTACCCAAATTATAGAGTTATCTCTCTTTGTTTTCCCAAAGAGGTAATGTTTTATGAAAATTCATATGAATATCTATAAAAATATGAAAAATCATTCAAATGCGTTAACTTTTGAAAATTGACTTGGAGGTAGGCGGGAGAACAATGCTATCGTTCGCAGTTCTTGCAGACCGTCACTTGTACATACCATTGAACAGCAAGATATAATGGCTCAACCACCTCGTTTTCAAGCTACAGTTCATCCAATGAACCCACCCAGCTTTTCTGGTGAAATACCGGAAGAGTGATTTTTGATCTTAGTTTCGTATTTCTAGTCCATATCCCATAAACAGTACATGTACTAGAGACACTAAAGTGTCATATATCAATAAAATATACAAGGCCACCAATTCCCTCCAAATGCACACATAAAATATTCTAGCAATAAAATTACCTATAATATACATTCAAACCCTAGGTTCCTCTATTTTACTTAATTTTTGACCGGTACTTAATCCGAAGCTATAACAGTGGGACGGACAACTTCGGAATGGACATTTTTCGGAACTTGCGCACCCTTTTCCTTTAAAGCTATTATCTTAGGATTTTTTTTAAATGGTGGGGTTTTTATATTTAAATTGATTTATGAAATAAAAAATCCAACATTTTTAGCTAGTTTTTGAGATATTAAGTGGCAAAGATAAAAATCCCATGGGGAAACATGTACTTAAAATTACCCCATGAAAAACCCCACAAAAACCCCATGGGGTTTAAAATTTTCCCCATGGGGGAAAAAAACCCATATAATCTTTCGTGGGGTTTTTAAACCCATATACGACTAAAAATTACATGTGGGTTTTTTCCCCCCACGTTTTTGTTACTTAGGGTAAAAAAACCCATGTAATCTTCATTATATATCTTTGATTTCATGAAAATTGGAATGGAGACATTAATTATTGTCTTGTCTTATTTTCAAACTTATTTCCAAGAAATAATAATTTCAGACATGTCTTCTCCTCATTTTTTTTTCAATATTTTTGAAACCTTGTTAGTAGCAAAATCATTTGTTCTTAGAGATAACAAATTCTGTTTATTAATTAATTCATAAATTATCTTGGTATGTCTCACTTCCCTTGGATCCCCAACTCATAAGAAGAGACCGTTGAATCCACCAATAAATTCTTTGAATCTATGTATGATTCATGTTACATAGATATATTTTCTATATGACTTATTCATATAAAGAATAAACTTTCTTATCTCCCATACAGAAGAGTACCATTGCTATATATATTTCAATATTTATTTCATATTTCTTTTTTTCCTTCAAATTTCCCCTTGGATCCCCAAATAAACTGGATCCTTGGATCCATCACTTAATTCTATGGAGCTATTTAACTCATTCATGTTAAGCTTAATTAAGTTATGTACGTGTGCTTGATATCATTTTGTTGAAATCAAAAAATAATTTATATTATCAGATAAAAGTATGTTCCTCTCACTTTCAATCAACAGCCTGAACATAAAACATTTATTCTTGAGACCTGATTAACATATTAAAATCATTTACTTTAAAATAAATATACTTTTAATATCTCAAACTTTTTAATTCATAAAATATTCCCACTCC